GCTGACAAATAACAGAAGCACCTCAGCTGTCATGTTGCTCTCACTGTTTAGATGGACTCGTTTTCTGACTCAACATGGTGTTAAAATGAGTGTGTTCACTGTCTGAACTCCTCTTTCCTCACATCTCTTCCTTCCATCTCTCTATCACCAGAGGGAGTCCATAATACTCAGGGAAAAGACAGGACTGATGGACACGTGGAGACACTTCATACAGATGAGACAGACGATCCACATGTGATGCTGCTGTCAGCAGAGGATCAGTGTTACTGTTGGTGATATAACCTAGAAGACTGTGAGCAACCTACAGGGATATAATCCTGAAGACCTGAGGACAGTCTGACTGGACCGTCTTCTACATTCATGAGGATTTAAAGAAACATTAAAACATGCTGCCTTTAATATGTTGTTATTTGAAGAAAACATCGTCATGGAGCTGAAACAGACTGATGACGGAACCACAGATTAAGAGGTGACGTTGGACTGAGGTGATGATCAGATCAGAGGGAGGAAGGTTATCTTACCGTGCACGAGGATCACAAACACCACAAACATCTTCATCTTCCTGTAGAAACTCCAACAAGCACAAAGTTAATCTGCTTCTCACTAAAGGAAGTCTTCAGAAACCCAGTGAGGACATCAGTTCACAGCCAGCTGTCCCTTTCCTCCTCCTGATAATCTGCTGACTCTGTGAGGAGAAAACTGGAGTTTCACTTTAAACTGTTTCCACTGAAGCAGCTGCTGGAATGTGAAGAAACAGGCTGAGCAGCTTTCACACAAACATTATTGTGACAGACAGGTGTGGCTGCTGAGCTAACTGCTAACACACCTGCTAGCAGCTAGCATGCTGCTGTTAGGCCCCTCCTCCTCACCCACCACCTGGACACCTCTGTCCATCCTGGAGGGGGACGTTCACAGACTTTCCAGGAGACAGAAGGCAGCTGGGCCAGACTCTGTCTCTCCGTCCACTGATGATGGTTTTTCACTTTAATCCTCAGAGTGGATGAAGTGATTGTGATCAGCTGTTGTGAAGTGAAACTGTGAGTTTGTCAGCTCAGAGTTCAGGTTCAGACTTTGTTAAAGCAGCTCTCTGGAATGAGTCCAGATCACCACAGATCTCTTCTGAGGAAAGAGGAGGAGCTTCAGCTTCCTCATGTTTGTCAGAGCTGTTGGTCCAGTTTCTGTCTCAGACTGACAGACAGAAAGCTGAACCTTCAGTCCTGTTGATTATCTGCACAAGAACTAAACTTCTTTATCAATCTCTAAATGACTGAAGCCGTCAGGAAACACAAGCTTTTTCTGTTCAAGAAAACATTTTAATGTCAGAGACACAAACAGCTGACAGAGATTTATGTCATTAAACACTGAAGTCAGTCCAACTTTTCATCAGTACAATAATGAAACAATAAAGAAATAAAAAGGATTTAAACTGCATTTCTTCTTCCTCATGATGTCGCTTCAAATCAGATCACAAGAAACTGCATTATTTACAATAATTTGACAATAATCAATATTAACAGATGACATGAAACCCACTTCTGCCAGTTCCTCTTGTCCATCAGAGCAGAGACGTGGTTTTGTTGTGGATCAGGTCTTTCTTTAACAGGAGAAGGTTAGTATCTGCTAGTGATGGGCAAAGCGAGGCTTTGTGAAACATTGAAATGTTTGAAGCAATTGTGCCAGAATTGTGACGAGGCTTAGAAGCACTTCGACACCCGTCTCCATGGTGACACCTACTGGTCACTTTTGATACTGACATATCTTGGTAGGGGTTTCATTGAAACAATGACTGACCTGCGTTTACAATTCTAAACGTCTTATCAATACATGACCGACAGGACTTCGGAGTAATCACCATACAATAAACAAATGTCTTCAGATTGTCAGAGACAGCAGATGGGGATTGTAATAAAAGTGTGTTTAAATAAAACACATCTGTGTGTTGTTTCATAAGTAATCACTCATTTAGCCGACGCTTTTCTCAAAAGGGAATCACAATTGCTGTGTCAGAGGGCACACCTTGGGGTTAAGTGTCTTGCTCAGGGTCACATGTATCACAGTGGGAATAGAACCCACATCTCTAACACTAAAGGCATATGTCTTAAACACTACCCTATCCATTTTCACAGTCGGAATACTTTATTGATCTACGAGAGTGAATTCTTTGTTGCAGATACTCGCAAGGCATAAAAGGAATAGAAATAATAGGTAGGCCTAGTTGAAGTTAGTGAGCAGAGAATATTATAAAG